CGACCCGAGTTTGATTCCTCTGCCCCTCTCGGAGAGCCCGGCAAGCTACCGAGAGTATTCGATATGCCAGACACAGTAATAACAAAGTCTCCAATGGAGACGTTACTGGGCCCGCTCGAGCAAATCGATGATCAACGGGAGGGCCTTTACCTTTTACCTTTTACTTTTTATTACACTTTGTTGCAGGTTAATTATATTCCTACCTTTTTATAATATTTATATTAATTATATAACAATTGTATTTGAATTAAGCACTATGCAGTTCCTGGGATCTTGGACACAATGTTATTATAGTAACTAATACAAGAAAAAGTAATATGATGCACATATATTTATTAATTTTCTAACTCATAATTTATGTAGATCAAAGTTTCTGCTAATAAAAATTTTCTTCTCTCTTGACATTACATACATTTATTTCTTATACTGGGCAGAAAAGTTTATATGGTAATAAAGTGCTTAAATTATTATTTGTCTGACAAGTATTTTCATCACTTTTAAAAGGAAAATTTGGTAAGCATAGAATTGTAGATGGTTGGATATTTTTGCATTCAAAATTCTAAATATTTCAAAGTCCTCTATTTTGTTCTTGCTTTCCTGGTTTCTGAAAATAAGTACAATGCTCCAGCAATAGTCTAGTGCCATAAATCTAAATTAGGCTTTATATTTGTGAGGAATGAACACTTTGAGTTCTCCATAGACGCTAATTGAAACCCCTTTAAACTCACTTGATCACTTGACTTCCCGTTACTCATCAATTTGCTCAAGCGGACACCAGCAATGTCTCCATTCGTCCCTGTTGTGTGATAGTGTAGCCCAATGGCATCTGTTCATTCTAGGAACGTGAAGAGCCTCAAACCGATCATTTGGGGTCTTGACAAAGAAGTCTGACCATCTTGTAGGTGGGCGACCACACGGTCATTTGACATCCCGTGGAATCCAGTCAGTTATGGCTCTAATCCAGCAGTCCTCTACAAATCTCATTACCTGTCCAGCCCATCTGATTTTCAACAACTTGGCAAATGAGACAGCATCCCTGATTCTTGACCATTGACAGAGGTCGAAACTCCGGATTCTTTCTCTCATTTGAGTGAAATTTGATATTGCAAGAATAGCTCTTTCAATTCCTCTTTGGGAGACATGAATAGCATTCTCATCCTGTTTTTGTAGAGCCCAGGTCTCTGAGGTGTATTTTAATACAGGAAAAACAATGGAATTGAAGAGATGTGCACAGAGCCAGAGATACTTCATTCTCTTAGCTATTTCTTCGATGCTCTTGAAGGCGTTCCAAGCTGTTCTTCTCCTCCTGTGCAACTCAGGTGCCAGGTCATTCATCATCTTGACTTCTAGACCTAGGTACACATAACTGCTGCATTCTTAGATGTTCATTTCATTGAGAGTAAATGGGACGTCAGGAACGAGACCATTTCTCATAAACATTGTCTTCATGAGATTCAGCTGAAGTCCAAACTTTCCATACTCACAGTCAAAGTTGGTCAGCATTTGTGCTGCTAGGCTAATGTTTGGTGTTATTAGAATAATGGCATCAGCAAAGCGTAGGTGGTGTAGTTGCCAAGAGTCTATCTTCACTCCCATTTCTTCCCGTTCCAGTCATCACATGACGTTCTTGAGGGTGGCACTGAAGAGTTTTGGTGAAATAGTATCACCCTACCTAACCAATCTCTTTACGTCGATGATCACTTCCTTGTAGAATGTGAGACCCTAGTGGTGAATCCGCAATACAGCTCTTGGAGGATCCTGATGTATTGAGTTAGGACACCCTGTTTGGCTAGGGCTTTGATGACCGCTTCAGTTGCAACATAATCAAAGGCCTTCTTTAAATCAATGAACTTTAGACAGAGCGACGTCTTGAACTCCAGAGAAACCTCAATGAGCTTGGTTATCGTGTGGATATGGTCTATGGTGCTGAATCCTTTACAGAAGCCGGCTTGGTCGCATGGTTGTCCTTCATCTAGTGTTCTGCCAATCCTATTCAGGGTGACTCAAGTGAACAGCTTGTAGATGACAGAAAATAAGCAGATAGGGCAATAGTTGCCAATGTCGTTGATGTCTCCCTTCTTGTACAGTAGTACAGTCCTGCTGGTTTTCCACTGGGACTGAACCTTGCATTCAGACAGGTAGCGTGTGAAGAGCTGAGCCAGTGTATTGATGAGTACTGATGGCAGGTTCTTCACATGTTTGGGTCTGAACTTGTCTGGGCCGGGTGTTGTTCACTTCTTTACCAACAAAATGGCGTGTCAAATTTCGGAAGGGAGAATGTTGGGAACGACATAACCATCCTGTATGTGGGCAGGTGGATGTGGCTATCAAAGAGATCTCAGTAGAAGTTATGGATAATCTTCTCCATTGATGTTCTGGAAGGTGTGATAGATCCATCAGGACGTCGGAGGGGAGTCATTTTTGTTTTGTAGTTGGCGAAGCACAGGCGGGCATTACGAATTCTTTGACTGGCTTCTGCTGCATCTATCAGGACTGCCACTCTTCTCTCTTTGAGGTCTTCCATTATCACTTCTCTCCACTGCTTTGAGAGCACAGACATTTGCTTGTGATTGCCTGAGGCGTGTGCCAAGCCACATTGGCGAATAAGGTCAAGAGTTTTCAAAGACTGGCATTTTTTGTGGCTATCTCTCTCTTGGTTTTCCTCGCACAATGATGGAGGTGCTGAACCAGTTGATCATATTTCTCGTTAATGTTGTCAACGACAGCATCTTCCCATGTTGCAGCAATAATGCCAAAGAGCTCCCAGTTGGTGGTTGTTCTGGGAGTTCTCTCTTAAACTTTGCAGCCCTTTCTTCCTGCTCTGTGAAGTAGAATTTTGCACAGAGGAGATGGTGATCCGATCCTGTTTGGAATTTTGGGACAACAGCAATATTGGTCAGGCAAAACCGTTGATTGAATAAAATGTGGTCAGTTTCATTGTGGAACCATCCACTGGGAGACTACCATGTCCAATGTTTAGATTCTGCCTTCTGGAACTGTGAGTTACCATGGATGGTCTTGGTTGACATGATGAACTCAGAGAGTCTCTCACTCTGTTTGTTCCATTCTAGGCCATGGGCCCCAATGTGGAATTCTTTGGATGATCTCCTTGGTCCTATCTTGGCATTAAAATCACCGACAATGATCTTGTAGAAGGTGTGGTCTACTTTATAGAACTTCTTCAGCTCCATGTAGAACTTCTCAATTTCTCCTTCATCATAATTGGATGTTGGTACGTAGACAACGAAGATAGAAACTGCCGGTAGTGAGCCACATCTATTCAAATGTAAACATCCAATTCGGGTTGTTAGGCATTCGAATGAATCAATGCTCATGGCCAAGTTCGTGTTGACAAGGATTCCGACGTCTCTGATGCCTCTTTTGTCACATGTTCTGAGGAACAGTTTTTCTCCAGTGTCGAAAATGGTATGATGTGATTGACGCCTTCTTGTCTTGGTCAGACCAATGATGTCGTACTTGATCTTTCGCGCTTGTACCATCAGTGCTCGATAGATGCATCTGATACCAGCATATATGCATTGAAAGAACAGACAATCATTTTTTCTTTCTTCATTTTGGCAGCCTTGTTCAGCCTCGAGATTTTATCAGCCTCTCCTTCCTCATCCTCTCAATGCTGCCGCATTGGTGACTCCTTCAGGGTCAGGGGAATGAGACCCATTGTATTTACTGGTTTTGGCATATCAAATACGCCACAGATAGCTTACCAGGCTCTGCCTTGCGGGCGGACTACTCTCAGTAGCTTGCCAGGCTGGAGGGAGGTGAGCGGGTCCACCTGGGTCAGGAGTTAAGATGTTATCATTGGCCAGGTTTCACAGAGGACAATTTGGAAGACCTTTGGTAACAAAAAGTAAGTCATATAAACCCATTCTGCTTACTGATTATTCTCCCCAAGAAAGCTACTTAACGGAGGGTGAAGACATGCTAAGCTGCATTGAAGAATTATGGCGTACCATGACTTTAAATTCAGATACTATGATCAATTTTGTATTCTTAACAACTATTTGGTTTCACTAAGTCTTGGAAAATCATAATATTTCATGATTACTGTGATATTTTAATTCTTATCATTTAGTGGAAGAGTGAAAATTTCAAAGACTTTGAACATTTCTGGGGTAATGATATGTTTCTGTCAGATTTCCTGTTTTGGGTCTGGAGCAATAGCACAGCAGGTCGGTCATTTGTCTTGCACACAGCCGACCCAGGTTCGATTCCCAGCATCCCATGGTCCCCTGAGCACCGCCAGGAATAATTTCTGGGTTCAGAGCCAGGAGTAACCCCTGCGCATCGCTGGGTGTGATGAAAAAAATTTAAAAAATATTAAAAAAGGATTTTCTGTTCATGAAAAAAGTAGAAATTTGTACAAAAATGTACATAAGATCTACTTTCAAATAAAATTTCTAAGCTTTTCAGACTTCTAAAACATATAATGATAATTTGAATTGATTAGCTTTAGTTTTATACAGTGAAAATAATGTTTTTCACTACACACAAAAATTGTGTAGTACTAGCCACATGTAAGTCACTTACAATTTTTCTTTCAATACCTTTAGACCTTATATAACCGTATTGAGCAGGTATTATTTTAACTTACTTTGATGAAGAAACATGATTTGTAAATGTATGATGACTTCTCTAAAGTCAAAGAGTGACACAGGTCTCAAAAAATGTAGAAATTAAACCCAACCATAATTGAGTATTTTGTGGGTATTATGTGTTCTGTGATTACAGTCAATTTACTTATTTACTCTGATGTATGTTCTCATTTGTACCTCTATTTTTCTATTTATAATTTTCAATGTACCGCTATTCTACAAATTCAATATTTTGAAATGAACCGTTCTTCATCATCCATTCTAAATATTTATTGCTTATTCTTAATTAAAAGAAATTATCTATCCCTGCAAGTCCATGGGGATCCAATAAGACTTGCTAGCACATTTTTCTACACACAGAGATTGAAAAAAAAAAGGTACACATACTATTGTTCAGTAGAGTATTCTGTGAGAGTTGGTTGGGGATAGGAGCATCACCAATATCTGTTTGGCCAATCATTGATGCATGAGAAATTTCATGTTGAATTCCATGGACATCAAGAGTGGGCTGAATCATATTTTTATCCCAGGAGGATTCGCTTCCACCTGTAAAACATTTATATGAACAGATTATAAATTGGAACATGATTTAGGATTATTTTCAAAAGTCCTTCCTAGGGTTGAAAAATTAATACTACTTATTAAAATTGTAAATTAATACTAACTCCAAACCCATTTGTATGACAACTTCAAAAACTTTTGATTTGGGGGGAAACTAATAATAATTACATAGATTAAACTACCTTGCAGGTACTCTGAATCAATCTGAACTCATGATTCGCTACTAAAAAACGTCATTAACTGATCAGCACTCCCTCCCATCCCACTGTTGAAAACACATATGTCTTATTTGATCATTGTATAACTAAAACCCAAGCACAAAAATTTGTAAGTCTGCAACTGTACCTCATGGTGTTGCAATAATAAAAATTAAATAAATAAATAAAAATAATAATTAAAATAAAGCTTCTGTTGTTGCACAGCCCCGGTAGTCGAAGACCTTTGGAACCAGCCACAGCCATGCTTAAGATCACTCTCCACACGTTCAGACAAGCCTCATGCATGAGGGAACCGGCAGAGGAACCCAGGCATGTGGAACCTAGCGCTGAGATCTCCAAGCCTGCTCGGATCAGGACTGGGCCTCCTCCACCCAGATTCCCTATCTTTCAGTAGGAAGGCGTTATGCCTACCAGCTGCCCCCGGCGCCGTGTTATCCCATCAACGGCCAAGACCCAGAGACTATAAAACACAACTCCCGGAAGAGCGTGGCCGCATTTGCAGCCGTGTGACCTCTTATTATCTAGTTCTTTCTCTTGGAGAACCTGGCAGGCTACCAAGAGTATCCTGCCCTCACGGCAGAGTCTGACAAACTCCCCGTGGCATATTGATATTCCAAAATCCAATAACTATGATGAGTCTCATTCCCCTGACCCTGAAAGAGCCTCGAATCTGGCACTTTCTAAAATCTCAGGGCTAGGACGAAGGAGATGTTACTGGTGCCTGCTTGAGGAAATTGATGAACAACAGGATTACAGTGATACAGTGACAGTGATACAATATTTGAAAAAATAACCACCCATATGAGCATGATTATTTATATGTGATTTTCATTTAATGTATAAGGGAAACTGTAATTAACAATATTATCAGTATAGCACATCAATTAATAAAAAATATATTCACTAAGAGAAAAGTGCAGTGAGATTATTTGCTTTCAGTTTTCATCCCTGAAAAAGCTAATATGGTCATATGTCATACACAGTAGCCTTTGGCACTGAATAACCAGGATAAAATATAGAATTAGGTCCATAGATTTGAAATTATACTTTACTTTGATCATCCATGCCAGAAAGTGAAGTTAAGTGTACATAAATAAGTAATAATATAGGTTGTTAATTTTCTACGTTGCATAGCTAATAATATGTCAATTTACACATGGAGAGAACAGAAGCATTGCAGAATAAAACAAATTATTTTCAGGAAATTCTTTTAGTAATGCTTTAAATGTAGTGGTCAGGGAATTATTCAAATAACTCTTGTAGCTGATAATTGGGTTTTAGAAATCAAAATAGGTATCTGGACAGCTAACAGGTGCCTCTTTATGCTTTATATGGTTCATTCATTCAGGGATCTTTAAATTCTGTTTCAGTTTCCAGCCTGGGACTATGGCATTAGCTCTCACCTGGCTGCTTGTATCCTGTCTCCTGCTTAAAATTCTGATTACACACATTAAAAAGTGTATGGGACATGGGAACTATATAAAATATATGCATTTGCTGTTTTTAAGCAAATTTTTAACCAAAATTTGAGGACGGAAACTAAAAGTCTCATATTTCTAACATTCAAATATGTAATTATTTTCACTTCTCTAGATTCTTCATGAACTTTGTCTTTCAATTTTTTATCACTAACACTGCCATGTTGTTTCAGCTATCATATCTATAAAGTTTAATTGTTACACATTAGTCTACTGAGTTAATTTTTGATAATGTATAAGACACTGGACTTTGACTGTGTTTCAAATTTTTCACAATTATAAAGTACTTTTTAAATATTAATTTATTGAATCACCGTGAGAACAGCCACAAAGCCTTTCAGTTTAAGTCTTGGTTGGTCACGCAATGATCAAACACCCATCCCTTCACCAGTGTACATTTTCCACCAACAAGAACCCCAGTATATCGCCTCTCCCAGCCCTTCCCATGCTTGTGTAGCAGATTTCCACTTTACTCTCTCTCTACATTGGTCATATTCAGTATTATGTAGATATTATGTGAAAGACCCACCATTGTTATTTGTAATTTTCCCCAACAATCAGATCTGCCAAAAAAGACATCATTAGATAATTTATTTTCTATTGCTTATTATGAAGAGCATATGATGTTGTGCGGCCACTATCTTGCCCATGCAATTTTGGATTTCTGATATTTTAGTGATAAGTCGGGAGGGATTTGTCTGCCTATGGGATCATGGTCATTCAGGAGACGGAGGAGGCATTCCTGGGTGGCAACTCTGTGCCTCCTCAGGGCGGGGAGCAGGGCTGGTTCCACCCCTCATTCCATGAGGCCCCATGTGCCTTGTCACTGCAGTCTCACACCTGGGTGTCCATTAGGCTCTGAAAGATGGCGGCAACCATGCCACCGCCACCAGGGAGGAAAGGCAGATGGACAAACACTCTTCCCCTCCTAGGGCCGCATGGTGCCTAGTTTAATGCAGAGTCCAGATGCATTTTTGTTGGGCATTATATGAATTTTCCCACCACCATTCACGCCTGCTTTCCAAGGACAAACGCTAGATCATTTACTTTCCATTGCTCACTTTGCATATCATGAAAGGTCGCATAACCATGTAAGTGGCCACGTGGTTTGGAAAAATAGTCCTGGTGCCCACATACCGAAACCATGCTTGTAGACGCTCATGGTTGCCGGAATTCCATCTGGAGAAGGCGGAGAGACTGCACATGTCCCATCTGGAACTTCCTGGTGATATTGGCTTGGTATGGGGCCTGGAGAATTCTCCGAGTGTTGTGGTGCCTGCCAGCCAGGTTTCTTCACTCTTATAAAGTATTTAGTAGTAGCACCATTCATTTAAATTGTTTTCTTACAATCAATTAATCCATATCTGAGGATCAATTAATTGCCAGATTAATGTTGAGTCAGAAAAGGATGACATGTTCCTTTTCTGTTATGACTTGCCAAGTTTGAATAAGTTTATTTTTAGAGTTGTGGAATTTTTTGGAAAATATTTTTGTGATATTATCCATGAAATTCAATATTAAATTAATATAAATGCTAGAATATATGAATTAATAAATTTTTCTGAGGCTGGATAGATAATACAGAGGTAAGGTGCTTGCCTCTCACTCACATGATTGAATTAGGTTTAATTCAGGCATCCCATATGATACTGGGAGTCGTCCAGAAATGAACCCTTAGTGAAGAATCAGGGTAAGACCTTTGCCACAACTGTTTACAATGGCCAGAATCTGGAAAAAACCTGAGTGCCCAAGAACAGATGACTGGTTATAGAAACTTTGGCAAATCTACACCATGTAGTACTATGTAGCTGTTAGAAAAGATGAAGTCATGAAATTTACATACAAGTGGTACTACATGGAAAGTATCATGCTAAAAGAAATGAGTCAAAAAGAGAGGGACAGATATAGAAAGATTGCATTCATCTGGGGAATATAAAGTAACAAAATAGGAGACTAACACCCAAGAATAGCCGAGATAAGTACCAGGAGGTTTGGAGCTACCTCCATGGCTTGGAGGCCAGCCATACATGCTAGTGGAAATGGCAGTTCAGAGAGAGAAGGGAGCACCAAATAAAGGGTGTTGGGAAGATCCTCCCACGATGGGAGAAGCATGCTGAAAGTAGACTATAGATCGAACATGATTGCCACTCAATGCCTCTTCTGCAAACCACAGCACCCAAAAGGAGAGAAAGAACAAAAGGGAATGCCCTTCCACAGAGGCAGGGTGGGATGGGGAGGATGGGAGGTGGTAGGGATACTGGAATCCGTGGTGGTGGAAAATGGACACTGGTGGAGGGATGTGTATTTGATCATTGTATAATTAAAACCCAATCACAAACATTTGTAAGTCTACGACTGTACCTCATGGTGTTTCACTAAAAATATATTTTTAAAAGGCAATGCCCTGCCACTGAGGCAGGGTGGGATGGAGGGATGGTGGATGGGAGGGATACTGGGAGGGATACTGGGATCCGTGGTGGTGGAAAATGGGCACTGGTGGAGGGATGCTTACTTGATCATTGTATAATTGAAACTCAAGCACAAAAATTTGTAAGTCTACAACTGTACCTCATAGTGTTTCACTAATAAAAATTTTAAAAAATACCTTTGCCACAGAAAGAAAAAAAACAAAACAGCAAACAACAAATAAAATAGAACAGTTCAAATCTTACTCATATTATGCTAAGTGAAATGAGTCAGAAAGGGAGGGACAGACAGAGAACTACTGCACTCATTTGTGAAATATAAAATATCATAATATGAGACTAATACCCATGAACACTAGAGACAGGACCAGAAAGATTGCTCCATAGTTGAAAGCCATTCCTATAAGCTGGAGGAGAAGGCAGCTGGGATAGAGAAGGTATCAAAGTCATTGATCGTTGGAGGGATCGTTTGGGATGGACATGTGTGCTGAAAGTAGATAAAGACCCAAATTGACGGCCTCTAAATATCTGTATTAAAAATCATAATTCCCATAAGTAGAGAGAGAGTAAGAGGTAAATTGTCTACCATAGAGGAAGGCAGGGGGATTTGGATGGGGGGTACTGGGGGCATTGGTGGTCAAAAATATGCACTGGTAGAGGGATTGGTGTTCGATCATTGTGTGACTGAAACTCAAACATGAAAGCTTTGTAAGTGTATTTCACGGTGATTCAATTAAAAATAAAAAATAAAATAAAACCATGTCTCTTCTGTGGCAAAAAAACCCATCTCACTCCTTGTTATTTTTTCTCTAACTTTAGAATATACCCCCTCAGGGACTTTGTGGAACACTTGTGGTCAAACT